TTCACTTTGGAATGTGGATTAACTGCAATGAAGGTAGGACAATGCGCTGAAAGACTGCGTCTGCTCGGAGTTCTTACGCCATCTAAAGCAAGTGGCTCGAGAATAGATAGCTGACCGGCATCTGCAACAGCGGACATATTGCAACAGTCAGATGAGAAGCATTTTTCACCCTTTGGAAGACGTCGGTTCAGATGAGCTTAACGAGAGATGTCGAAGCATGTGGTCATAAACCGCACTAGACAGACGAGCATTGGGACTAGGCAGTGGCTACGCCGGGTAATGACGAAGAATAATAAATCTTGTTGTCAGTACATACGTATCTGCGAATATCGCCAGACCGATGGTGGTACCACAAAGGATACAGTGTACGCGAGGAACTACTGAGAGTAGAATAGAGTAGACTTAGAATGCTTTTGAAGCTTAGTTCTTTTGTGACTGATAATCACGGAAAATGCGGAAGCAGGGTTACTGTTGTAGATAGTTGCGTGCTCAGAAAAGTGTCTGTTAGTTGTCTTCACAATATTCGGTTAGGACACGGTCGTATAGTTAATCATCAGAAGTGAGGTAGTCGTATGCTGTTACCGAAGTTTTTCTGAACTCGCATTTGCCCTTTACACGTTGTTGTTGGTTACATGCTTCGATTTGGCTGGACGTAACGGGATATTTCGCACTTGACTGTGCTAATGGCTATTTCGTTTTTAGCACGCTGAGACGAAGTTTCCAAAAAGAGAGTCATGGTGTGACGTTCGTTTGAAGAGCAGCAGAAAAAGTCATCCAGTGTGTTCATTGATCCGTTCCTGCGACTATTGTCCAGCCGCAACTCGCAGTGCGCACCTAAGGGTGGCGATTCGTTTCGGTCGTAATGAAGGTTTCAAACACTGCCTCTGTTAAAATTCTTTTGTCACAAGTCAATGGTTGACCTTTAAGTTTAGTTTACTACCGTGGTTTGGTATTCTATCGTCATTCAAATATCTACAAAGGTATATGATCACCTCCTTCCCGTGAATTCTCACGTAGCACAGCAGCGCAACTTCAAAAATCAGTTTTACACAGAAATTAGCACCGTAAAGGTAGCGTACGTTCGAGACTAGACTGTCAGAATTTTTAGTCATACTGGTCTTTTATCACTATAAAAATATACTGCTCAGAGTCATTTGACATGTCCATTTACCTCCCACAGTGGTAATCTCCGTACCGGTACGAACAGAAACGGATTCGCTGTTCAGCCCAAGTTGGTGATATTTGTTTTACAGCATTATGCCTTCGCTACTCCTGAACTTTAATTTTTCACTGCTTTTTGCAGGCTCTGGCTTTCTGTAGTCGCTGCTGCTATAGACGGATTACTGTTCTAGATAGTAATAAATGTAATTTATTCATTCTTTTATCCAGCCATACATTCATTCATTCACTCATCCAGTCCATAGCCCATGTAACTTCGTTGATATCTTATTTTTGAAGTATGCGTTTGTTCATGGCTTTTGCTTTTCAGTCAATGGATTCCGAGAAAAATCATGCGACAGCTGGTTTGGCCAGAGTATTTTTGTTTTTGTAAGTATTTTTTGTAAGTTGCTGAACCTTGCGTTGAAGTTGGAATGTTTTTTTCGAAGCTAACACACTCTTTCTAGACTGCCAATTTGTCTCTATGTCTGTTTTCGTGATCATTAACTAAAGAGAGACCCACCTGTCGAACTGTGAATTATAGAGTACTGTAATTCCTGTATTTGACATGTTCTTCAATTAGACGTATTGCATTCGCGTTGTCGTACCGAATAGGGAAATTGACTTATTTCACGTTTAAAGTTATATCGTTGCCAAAAGTGCGACAGGTGGAACATCTGTCGGCAGAAGTGTTGACGTACCAAACGTTAGTGTGGTTTGGCGGCTCAAACGGAAACGGTCATGTGATCCTCCGTCGAAACGCCGGTCATAACAACTGCCAGTACAATCGTTTAGTATTGTCAGTTTTGGTCGAAAAAGACTTGTCGCTGTTGAAGTCATATTGCTAGTTGAAAGGAGCAAGAAGGCGCTACACGTATCGGAACGCGTCACACAACGGACCAGGGTTTGATTGGATTAGCCAGCCCTCAGCTAAATTGATTTAACTCACGAAGTCTGTTTGTGGGACACTGCGCCGGTCGTTTGGAAAATTCCAACCAAACTCTCAAGTAATACCCTCATTACGTGTTTGTGCTTGTTGCACAGCTGTCATATCTTTGTCCGCTGTTGACTTCGTCGGTATATCGATTGTTGGCTGTCATTCTATGACTCTTTAATTTCTTGGACCATTCAACGCGCTTGATAAGGCTTATCCAGGTCTTAAACGTTTCTGCTCCACAGTCTCTGTTCATATTATTGTCTACTGTAACACAGATCCATAGAGCTTCTAACATTGATACTTTAAATAGATCCGCTGACCGGGTGATAATCCTTGCTCCGGCGAAGAAAGCTGTCAGTGTTGCATTAGTCTTAAGGTAACAGTAGCAACAGTAGACAGATGGCAAGGTAAAGCAGATGGCTTGTTACTGCTGTACGTTTTAAGGTCGCAAACTACCTATAAGAATATTTGTCAGTACCAGTGTTGCAACATAGTGGGAAAAATCACTTTATCGGTATTGTTTCTTTGACTTCAAGATTTGTTACGTTACCTTAAATGTCCCTAAGTTTCGTACGTATCCTTTTTCTCCTGTACTCCAAGCGAAATGTTAATCTTTACTTAGTCGTTGTCGCTTTTGCCACGATGTTTCAAAATTTAATATTTTCACCTGCATATTTCTATCAGATATACGTCATTTTCCTTTTACTTTATGCCACTATTCATGTAGCCATTCTTTTCACAGTAAGTATATTTCATATCCTTGTTTTCACCGCGAATCGCTTGGTTCATGGATTTACAATTCTTTTCAACGATCATAAATGACAGCTGACTAACGTGAAAAGAATTTGGATTGTACTGTTTGATGGCGCTGAGAGTAAAAGCCTCGCTTTTAGGATGAATCTGGAGTTGCATCGTCGGATCGTTCGCCAGTACGGCTTTGTTGTGCTCGGAATCGTGACACATCTCGTTCTGCTGACGGCAGTTTTTGAAATCTATTACCAGTCGCCCATTGTATCCGGAATGACGCCGCACGGCAACTCGTCCTATGCCCCGGCATCGAGATTGTTCTTGTTTGTCGCTGACGGCTTGAGGGCTGAATCTTTCTTTGCACCGGACACCAACGGGTCGTGTAGGACGCCTTTTCTTCGGCAAGTACTTCAACGTCCTTATTATTTGGTGTACTTCAGCTGCAGCTGTTTTCCTGTATTTTTCTGATGTAGATGCAAGTGATTAAAGTTTCAGTTAATTTCTTTAATTTGTGGAAGCTAATACTGCTTGGCACGTTTTAACGAGCTTTTCGATTTTAAGTCTTATTGTCTCAGTGAAATTCTGATAAGTGCTTGTTACATGCAAACTGAAAATTAAGCTGGAAAATAACTTACTAACTGATATGTTTCGTTATTCGTATTGAGAACATAAACAAGATTGAATTAAAGAATGAAACGTTAAGCACCGGTATGGCAAAATAGCAAATTATTAAGTTAACAGTAAGTGAAAGTTGTGTGTCATAAGTGCCACCTATCAGATAAATACGTCATCTCAGCTTTGACCTATATAGAGAGATGAAGATGCACATTTGATGTTGGCGTGAGAAAATGTGAATTGACTGTTCTTATAAGCCACTGTCAATCGCCAAATCACTCGCATCAGTGAAGTCACGCTGCTCTGCAATACCGTGGAGCGGAGGGGACTTTAGTATTAGCCGTACAGTTTGAGACAGCGCCAAGATTCCAATTAATTCAGATGTTAAGCTGCCTGTTCCTCTCACCTGGATAAATTCTATCGCATATTTACAGCTCATCTTGTAACTTATGTTGGGAGCTTCTTCTGGGAAGGAATTTCTTGAAAAGGCCCCCAATATAGTGGTTTTGTAGTAAACCATAAGTCTCATTTCATTGAGTCTTGTTGACAAACATAGGGATAAATATCATGCGTTGCTGATACGCCAGATTATGTAAAATAACGCTTGACTCCTCCAAGACCACACTGCTCCTACTTGCCTAGGCGGACCGTTCAAGC